GAGAGAATGAGAGAGACAGAGAGCACATGAGAGGGGGGAGGGTCAGAGGGAGAAGCAGGCTCCCTGCCGAGCAGGGAGCCCAATGCAGGACTCGATCCCAGGACTCCAGGATCATGACCTGAGCCAAAGGCAGTCGCTTAACCAACTGAGCCACCCAGGCACCCCTCCCCAGTTTTAACAATAGTTGTAAAACGTGCTCAATTACTAAAATAACTTAATTTACTTTATGATGCATATTGTAAATAAGAGCCATGTGAAAAATAATTAGATACATTGACTTTTTTTTCCCAACTGTAGCATCAAATGCCTGCTTGGACCCTTTTATGCTTCTTTCCTCCATGAATTTTTATAAGTTGAACTCCTAGAATGGCCCTCTGGTGAATCATTACTAGACGGATAAAGCTTTTTAATTTGGGTGCATACTTGATTTGACAGCTACCAAGTTTGGCCAGGCCCCAGATTTGCAGATTGATAAATTAACAGCCTCTCAGCCTGTCTGTCTTTGTGTTGTTGTTTCCCACCCCCCTCTCTTTGCTATTTTTTCCCCTGAGATTTGAAGGCCCATGATGTGAGCAATTTTCCCAACTTATGGCATCTTTCCGGCACAAACTGTGGTCCCCAAAGGCTAGTAACTGGCCTCGGGTGTTACAAGAAGGATCCTTTACCACCACCTTTCTAAAGAGCTACAGAACACAGAGCAGTTGTGACTCTGGCACACACAGCATGCTCAGCTAAGCACCTCTTTTTCTGGTCTTCCCCACTATCCCAGGGGGTTCAGCAAGATGGGTAGCTTAAGGCCTGGAAATGGGGGTGCAATATTGCAGAGAGCCCAAAAGCAATGAATCGAGAATGGAATGGGGCCACCTGGATGAGGAGGGTGATTGTATGGCCTTCACAGCCCTCTCCTCCACCTCTTCCCACTATTTAGCCTCCTTGTACAGACAGGCATCCCAGTCCCCAACCCTCAAGGGCTCCGTCAATATTACAACACTGGTTTAAACACAACATGTAAAGTTGCCTCATCAGCTCAAGTCAGGTGCCAGCAAACCTGCCAGATGTGGCTTCCTTTCCTATTTCCCCAATTTTCCTGCTTCTAAGGCTCAACTGAGACACTCGTAAAAAATGCAGATTCAAAGGCTCCTTCTCTGGCAATTCTAAGGTAGAGCCCAGGGATTTGGCTTATTCACACAATCCAGAAGATTCTTATGATGTGGCAAACCTGCACAACACCGCTTTGGTCTTCCTGGGAGCACCTACTGTATCTTGACATTGAGTTCCCACAGGAGAGAGATGTGGGTATGCTTCACTGATGCTGAGCCGCGGCTCTGACCACAGAGTCAGAGGCCTTGAAGTGTTTTTCAAAAAGCATCTAATCCCCCATCTAGTCTCCAGGCACTTCAACCATGTGAGATGGAAAGTTCTTTAATCCCAATGTAAAAGCCTATAAAGAAGGAAAATTCCAAACCCCAGTTGCTCTCTTAATTAAGAGCCTCAACAACTTTGTATCAGTAGTGAAAACTTTTCAGAAAATGGCTGAGAGAAGGGAGGGATAGTCAATTATTTGTTGAGGGAGCGAGAGAGTGCATCAAGTAGCTATTTTTGAAAACCACTGTTCAAGCCTCACTTGTGTACATTCATAAACTAAGCATATATATATATATTTTAATTTTTTGAGAGAGAGAGAAAGCACATGCGAGTGGGGGGGGGGAGCGGAGGGGCAAAGGGAGAGAGAAACTCAAGCTGACTCCACAGTGCGTGCAGAGCCCTGACATGGGGCTCGATCTCATGACCCTGAGATCATCACCTGAGCTGAGATCAAGAGTCAGATGCTTAACCGACTGAGCCACCCAGGCACCCTAAGCATGCATTTTTAAAGTTCCATTGTTACTTTAAAAATGTTTTACCTTTGTGTAGGTTAAATTTTCATAATAAGAAAAATATAAGTGTATTATCTAAGACTTTTCTTATAAAATATTGTTTGTTGCATTTCTCTCTCCTGCATGTGTTCAGGAAAAAGCATTTTCCATTACTTTAGTATATCTACACAGGTGAACTGTATGTCCAGAAATATTTTCTCCTTGCTGATGACTTGGCTGAGCCATCCTATAAATTTAATGCTCAGTACATATTTAAAATGACACAAGCCATGGGATCATAAATTTTTTTTTTAAAGATTTTATTTATTTATTAGAGAGAGAGCACATGAGAGGGGGGAGGGTCAGAGGGATAAGCAGACCCCCCGCTGAGCAGAGAGCCTGATGCGGGACTCAATCCAGAGACTCCAGGATCATGACCTGAGCTGAAGGCAGTCGCTTAACCAACTGAGCCACCCAGGCGCCCCCATAAATTTTTTAAATTAAAAAATTTAGACATATTTGAATAAGGTCTATAGATCAGATAACAGTGGGGTAGCAATGATCATTGCCTGATTTTGATCACTGCACTGTGATTATGTAAGACGCTAACCTCTGTGGAAGTGGATAAAGGGTACACAGAAATTCTTTATGCTATCTTAACAATGTTTGCATGTCTCAAACTACTTCAAAATAAAAAGTTAACAAGGAATTTAAAATTTAGATAGTATTAAAATTCATATATTCACCACTCAGACTGCATAAATATCAACACTCTGTCTTACTTCCCTTTGTTTTTTAAGGCAAACATGACAGACAAATGAATCTGCTCTTTTATCATTCTGTACTCCCACTAGCAGTGAGTAGCAGCTGGTTTTTCTTCTTCTCCAGTACTCAGTATTATAAGACTTTTTAATTATTTCCCGCATGAGGGGTAAAGAACAGAATCTATATCACTTTCCATCACTTCAAAAACTGAAACTGAACTTCTTTTTATAGGCTAACTGGCCACTCAGATTTTCTCTTCCTCATAATTTTCACATTTTTGTTGGTATTTTTCTATTTTTTTTTAATGATGTGGTAATTTGTGTCATCTGGATATAAGCCTTTGCTTATAATATGCATGCAAGTATCTTTTGTCCCTTTATAGCTTGCTCTCATTGGTTATGGGATCTTTTGTTGGACAGGTATTTTGCATTTTAACATAGTCACAGTTTCCCATCTTTTTTTTCTGGGTTTTTTGTATCTTATATATTTCCACTTTCCCCAGTATCATGATAGTTTGGTATTTTGTTCCCAAAGTTTTGCTTTAAATGCAAGTTTTAATCTTCACAGAAGTTACGTCTGTTACTGTTTTAGAGGCTAGAATCTATTTTTATCCACTTGTTCCCGTTTATTTAATGATTTATCCTTTTCCAACAGACTTTTAATGCCACATTTTATAACAAGTTTTCATATATGCTTGGGTCTATTTTTGATTCTCTGAGCTGTTCCTTAGTTTGTCTATTTCTACACAAATATGTCACTTTTACTTTACCATAACTTTAAAGTAAGTCTTAAAATCTTGCCGATCAAGCCTTTTTTTTTCCTTCAGAATTATTTGGTATTCCTTACTCTTTCATCTTGTGTATTCTGTACTCACTGTCAAATGACAGACATTTTACTAGTTTTTTTTTATTGGAATGTTATTGAATTGACAATTTTGGAGGAATTGACTTTATGACATTATGCTTTTCCATCTACAAATATGGCATAGTTCTCCATTTCCTTCTGGATTCTCCATAACTCTACATTCTTCAATAGTATTTTAACTTTCTCTATAACTATCTTATATAGATTAAGTTAGATCTTTTTATGAGTATCTTTTAAGTTTTATTGCTTTCATTAATGAGTTTTTCTTACCTTTTATTTGGTTATTGACACTATGTTGGAACACTATTGAGTTTTGTATAGTAATCTTATACCCAGGAACCTTACTGAACTTTCTTATTGAAAATCTAGGTTCTCAACTCTTTTTTTGGGGGGGGGATATGGAAAGAGTATACTGCAGTTAAAAACAAAATATAAAACTTTCTTTGCAAAAGAAAGAAAAAAAAGTTCTTTTGATCTCCTTGAATGCAGCACACACAAAAAGTGACGGTTCCCCCAGGCCCCCCGCAGGAATGGAGGAAGAAGCAGAGGGCAGGAGTGCAGAGATTTCTTTTCTCCAGGCCGAGGCCTGTGAAAAGCACTGCCCAAGTGTTAGTCCTTAGCAGGGCCCTTGGCGGGTCTGTATCCCGTCAGCCCTCTGGAGTTCGGGAGCATCAGCCTCTCCGATGATTCAGGCGTCCAGGCGCATCTCAGACACGATGCGGGTTCGTTTCCAGACCATGCTGCTACTTGTTGAACTGGAAGGAGTACAGCCCGTGGTCTGAGGGCGCCTCCACCGGCACCTGCCACCGCTCTCCTCGGCTGCAACACCGGCGGAAGGCACGGGGGTGTACCGGGCGATGTAAGCTCCTGGCGCCGGGGCGGCCGCCGGCACATACCTGCCCGTGCTGCTGAGCGAGAGGTGCCCCAGTTGCTGGGTAAGAGGTCCCATCATGGAGGCAGGCTGCAGAGAAATGGGGTGATCCATCCCTGGCGGCAGAATGGAACCTGAAGGCTGCATGAGGTATGACTGGTGGTGCATCCACGACGGGTTAGGTGCTTGTAGAGGAGATGTCTGAGTTACTCTCTGATAGGAAGACACAGGAGATGGAAGGTACGGGGAGAGTGCAGACTGAGCATCCTGTTGGGGGTGATGTTATAAGGAGCCGGGTAAAACCCATTCTGAAGAGCTGTGGTGGGGTCATAGGTCAAGGCCATACCACCCATATCTCCATTCCTTGGCCAGGCCCATCCATTTTGCATGTATTTCCCTTGGTTCTGTCATTTCTTTGGACCACCATCAGCAAATCTGCAAAGCAAGGGATCAGATGGGGCTGGGACTCCAGCAGGTGTCTTAATATATTTTCCATTAAAGTGGGTGATGATGGCTTCTCACTTCTCTGTGGACTCCATCCTTGCAAAGCCAACCCCTCTGCTGGTCCCACTGGTGTCTTGGAGGATTCGAGTGGAGATAACCTGGCCAAAAGGCTTCAGCATCCTCTCTAGTTCTTGCTCATCCATGGAGAGTGGAAGGTTTGATATGTATAAATTTGTGGGGTCCTGTTCCTGTTGCTTTGCCACCTGAGCCTGCACACCACTGGCTTTCAGTGCCATGACAGCTTTCTGTGCGGCTGAAGGACTGTCAAAGTCCACAAAGCCATAGCCTTTGCATTTGTTTGTGCTCTTGTCCAGGATGGCCTTAGTGGAGACAATCTTGTCATATGACTGGCACAATTTGACAAGATCCTGGTCAGTAATGCCTGGTTGCAATCCCCGGATATAGAGGTTGGTTTTGCTCAACTGGTCATTTCCATTGCTCTCACTGCTGTTGTTCAGGGTACTGTTGCTTGGACTAGGTGGTGCCATCTGCTGAGACAATGACACATAGGGCTTGTTGTTATAGCCAAAAGTCGAAATCCCAGGCCTGGAAGTCCCTGACAGCAGCATTTTCTCTTTAATGTAAGGGAGCTGAGAGCTAGGTTCTCAACTCTTAATGCTCATTGAAAAATAAACTAGTTGGGGTTGAAGATCACAGGATTTCTAGGAGACAACTGGGAATGTGCCGTGACTCCTTCCCCCCAAATATAATGGTATGGGTGGGAGCTACTTTCTCCTACATCTTAAATCTAGACATAGGGATTAAGGAGCCTAATAAAATATGTCCTCACCAGTTGACAGTTCTAAAGGGACTGGTGCTCCTGCCTTCCTGAGGGAAATGTAAGGGGCGGGGGCTGAGCAAAGGAGGGGGTGGTGTACTGGTAGCCTGGACCATTGGAATTGGTCAGGGCAAATGATGGTGGGGTATTTCTCATGGATCAGATAGAGTTCAACAGGAGAGCACGTTTGTGTAGGGTCATCACAAGATTTGTTTAAGAGAACTACCTTGATGGGTCAAAGAACCCAACAGGAGTAAACTGTCAGATATCCAGAAAGTGAGGAAGGAGGAGCTCAATGACCAGTTGGACTGGTATTACTCCAGGGAACTCCAAGTGGGAAATCTGGTAGTGAGGGAGGGCTGCACAAAACCACAAATGTGCCTTTGAGAGACGGTCAGTCTTTAACCCCTGTCGCTAGTTAGGCAAGACGTTTCTTGCCACTATAGCTCTTCTCCCCTCTTTTGGCCCTTGGAAGGCATGGGTCAGAAACCACAGCTAGCTAGCAAGATAGGGGAGGCAGAATAAGGGGCAAGTTTGGGAAGGGGGAAGAAGGTTAGACTTCTCTTCCCCACCACCCTAAAAGCTGCTAACCTGTATCAGGCCTGCTTAGGGAAAAGAAAACCATGGTTAATGAAGTTTCAATTTCAGCTGATGCACTGGACTGGAGGTGCATATTACTGATAGCAGGAACTTACGCCCAGGAGCCCTGCTTGTCTGATGTAATTGTGATGTGACATAATATGGCAGGCACTATACCGTAGAGGCTAGATACTGGCCTGGAAGCTAGACTGCTGAATTTTAGCTTTGTCATTCAGCAGATGTCCAACCTTTCTCTTGCAGTTTTCTCCTTTGTAAAGCATGTAATTGTATGGTTACGAGCATTAAATAAGTTAATATATTCAGAAGTGCCTAAAGCAGTGTCTGCCTTTTACTAAGTGCATAACATTTACTGTAAGCAGGCAGTAAATGTTAGCGAACATGAATACAATAGCTTTATTTATAATTAGTTGTAAAAGTCCTCTGCTAACACATGCAGTCAAGTTCATGTTTGAGAGACACAATACACTTACAAAAGGTATTTGATAATTTGTGAACAGTTTTAAAAAATGTAACCAGTTATTTTCAGTGTAATGGTTTACCTGCCTGGCAGCAGATTTCAAAATATTTTTCAAAGATGAGAACACATTTTCCCCTCTCTAAAAATGAACACTCAGCCCTTCCATGGAGATGGTGCTGAAAGCAAACACGGAAGGCTGGCCGTGCAATGCCCCTGCTCCTCCCAAAGCCGAAGCCAAAGCAAAGGCTTTGAAGGCCCAGAAGGCAGCACTGGAAGGGGTCCGCAGCAACACCACCAACAGAAGTCCACATGTCACCCACCTTCTGGCAGGCCAAGGCACTGCTGCCCAAAGATCCCTGAAAGAACGCTCTAGGGAGAAACAGGCTCGATTACTAAGACCAGAGATTCCCCTTGACCCTAGAGTGGCCACAGAGACAGAAGGCAGTACCCTTGTGTTCACTGTGGCTGTCCAAGCTAAGGAGCACCCAGTCATGCAGCCTGTCAAGAGGTTCTAGGACACTGACATGGCCAAGGTCAACACTCTGAACGGGCCTGACGGAGAGAAGAAGGCATATGTTCCACTGGCTCCTGACTAGGACGCTTCCTATGTAGCCAACAAAACTGGGATCATGTCAGTCCAGCTGGCTAATTTTAAATATAATAAATTTTTCACCATAGAAAACAAAGGCTGATTATACCTTTAGCTGAATACCACTAACATTATTGAAAGATTCACAAAAGCAGGTGGGGTAGGCTCTACAAAAACTCATGTTCAGATGCTGTAGCTTTGCTATTTAGCAAAACTTTTTTTTTTTTTTAAATTCCCTGCCTCTTATCAAGTGTCTACTGACTTCCTGTACAACTATTCCCAAACTCTCTATTCTACTCAAATCCTAGTTGTTCCATCAAATCCCCATCTTAATCTCAAGACTTTCCACTAACAACCCAGAGAAGATCGTCTGGTAAGTGGTGCTCCAATTCCCTGACAGTTCCCCCAACCCTTTTCCTATTCCTTTGGTCTCATTTCCATAGTAATAATAGTAGTAGTAAATATAGTAATAATAGTGTCCTTTCTTCTTTCCAAATTGAACTTCCCATTCCAAGCACTAATTTTTACCTACTACTCCCTGCTCCATTAACTATCCTCTTTCAATTTCATCTTCAAATTTTCCTCTTAAATTTTTTTACCCCCATAGTATCAGAATTCCCACACTAAAGGAAGATGAAGAAAAAAAATATTAGCTGAAATCCCTAACAATGAACAAAATTCCCCCAGTTAAATAATAATTCCTTTTAACCAATAAGAGGGGCTAGGCGCAGGAGGTGAGAGGAAGAGGTAAAGTTGGTCGAGAGACATGTAACTTATGCAAAATAAACACACTGTGATTTTTTTAAAGATTTTATTTATTTGAGAGAGAGAATGAGAGACAGAGAGCACGAGAGGGGAGAGGGTCAGAGGGAGAAGCAGACCCCCCTGCTGAGCAGGGAGCCCGACGTGGGACTCGATCCCGGGACTCCAGGATCATGACCTGAGCCGAAGGCAGTCGCTTAACCAACTGAGCCACCCAGGCACCCCACACTGTGATTTTTTCAAAATCTTTTATGTCAGTTAAGCATGCAGTGTCTCCTTAATCAACTCAGGTAGAGTTGGGGTATCTTGGCCAACCTTGTCTCCTTTGCATTCTTCCATACGCTCTCCAGTTTTGTGTTTTTACACATCTATTGAGCTATACTTAAAATGCAATAAACAGCACCTATGTCACAATACATAACTTGCAAAGTTTTGCTATGCATGTCCACCTGTGAAATCAGCACCACAACGAAGTTAATCAATTGTCTCCTTGTGCTCCCACACAAATGATTAGCTTGGTCACTTGTGATCACTTTTGTCTGGCTTCTTTCCGTCCACGCAATGATGTTGAGATTCCTATACGTTATTGCACTGTACCAACAGCTCATTCTTTTTACTGCCAAGTGGTGTTCCATTGCATGGACATACCACAATATGCTTATCCATTCACCTGTGAATGGAAATATGGGTCTTTGAGGTGTTTATAATCCTAGATAAAGCTGCTATAAACAGTCTTGTGTGAGTTTTTGTATGGACATACACTTTGATTTCTCTTGGATAAACACGTAGGAGAAGAATGGCTGAGTTAGCATGGTTGGTGTACATTCAAGTTTTTAAGGAACCGACATATGGTTTTCCCAAGTGGTGTCCCACTCTGAACATTTAAAAATCTCAAACACTTTTAAAAAAAAAAATTATGTGACTGCAAAAAACAGTGGGTTAAATGCTGTGAATAAGGTTAAGAAAAATGATGTTCGCTAGTTAGGTCTTTGGTCAAGTCCTAGGAATATAATCCTCCTCGTCTGCTTTGCTAAACAAGACAGTTCGAGTATTCAACAATGTGAGGACACATGCCAAACAGAATGCATTCACCGACCAAATAACAGCTGTCCTCGGAGGGCTGCTGATTAACCAGCAGGGCTTTGATAGCACTGCAGCCTAAGCAAGGTGGCCCCGTGCCAGGAGCATAACTATCTCATTCATTTTAATGGTTTTGGCAACATGCAACTACTCATGTCATCTTGTTTTGATGAAGCTTCCAATTTTCATTACTCCTTTGGGAAATCAATTTCAAATAAGCTGCTGATGGCACTGTGTGTATGTGAATATACATGTCTATATACGCACATATATTTGCACACAGTTACATATATAAACCTAGATATCTTCTCTTGCTCTATTAAGACTGAGGTCATAGTTGTGATTCAATCTGTGTTATGACAATCTGAGAAATTTCTCACTTTTAAATTACCAAACCTCATTAGAAACCTGTGGCATTGACTCAGCAAGCTTCCAGAGCTAGGACAAGGACAAGCAGGTCAGTGTGGATTGGTGGGAGGAGCCAGGTACCTTTGGCCTCAAGTAGACGGGTAAGGGTGGGGGTGGGGACAGATCCTGACGAAGCAAAAACGTGCCAGGGAGGCAGATGCATGGAGAAGGTTCTTTCCTGGGCACTTCTGCTGAATATTCTGGTAACTTTCTGCAGCTATCACCACTCATCCAAACTAAAAAGAAATTCTCCTTAAAGGAGACGGCACTTTTGGGGAGTCACTGACTTCCTCCATTTTATTCCACTGCATTCCCGTCCAAGATACTGTTTAATAAGTTGGAGCACGTCACATCAAATTATGATAGAACACTTCAGGGCATCCAAGCTACAAAGACATTTGTTAAGCTATAGTTTAGCACCATTTCAACTACTAACTGTTCTTGTTTCTTTGTTTTTGTCCAAGACCTCCCTATTTTCCTTCCCTCCGGAGCCTGGTTCTTTCTCTAGACTTGACTTCTAAGACTCACTCAATTTTCAACCCAAACCAATGCAGGGATCCAACTTAGGGGATCACAGTCTTTTTTCCTCTGGCTCTTTGAGCTCCATTTACTTTCAGGGTGAAAATGTCTCCCTGCACTGACTTCAACCCAATCCCTGAAACCAAAGGGCAGCTTTGCTGACTTTCCCCTTGTCCTTTCTGGGCACCCAAGGGCATCGTACCACCTTGAGTGACTATTCACAGGAAACAACTGTCATTTTTCCCCAACCCCAGTTCTTTTTAAATTCCATACCTACCTCCTTTGGAGAAATCCTTAATTCCCATTCACTTATGCACGTCTCCCCTTTCAGGAAGCCGCCTCCAGGCTGTGCCTCCTCAAAGAGCATCATCATCAT